CGTTTGGGCATGGAAGAGTCCTAAATGCAGGAATACAGTGGAGACAATCCACTGGGTTCAATGTGAGATACTGCTAACCCTTTGAATTTTCAACCCCCCCCCTCCAGGTTGGGTTTTGTCTCCATCCAGTTATTGAAACTCCTCTTGTCAAGGTGCTCGATGGCCTTTCATTAGGATCTTCCCATTTGCGTCTTTCCCAGCACATGAGCAGCAGTCAGTATTGCTGGCCACTCCCTTGCTCTTGGAACACCTTGGGACTCCCTTCTCTTTGAACTTCTGTGTTGTCACCTTCTCCCTGTGGTTTCCTATTTCCTGTCTCTTACTTTCTGGTCATTTGTCCATTTGGTATCTGCTAGAGGTCCTGATTCCTTAAATAGCAGCTATCCTGGACTCCCACACTCGGGTCTCTCCCCCAGACCTCTCAGTTCCATATATTTGGAGAAGTCTAGGAGGGTCCCAACACATGGCCTCCTTTCCCTCAACTGATCTTACTTTACCTGTTGGACCCTCCAGTCCCTCCACCACGAGGCAGATGGATGATCTTTAAACATCTAGACTGGATCCCGTTATTCTATGGCTTCTTTTCACTGACTTTCTATCACACTTTGAATAAAATCCCAGTTTCAGTTCCTTCTGTGGGTTCTTGTTAGGCCTTGCTTAGTTCCTTACCTATGTTTCATCCCCCTCATTCCTGGGGAATCCACCTTTTTTAGGTCCTGAAAGATGCCAACTTCCTTCCCCTTTGGCCAGTGCGTCTTCCCAGCTCCTCCTGAGGCTTTGATTTTCCATCCCAGCTTCAGCGCCACCTCCCCCATGAGGCCACCTTTTACTTCTTTATCTGAAGGGACCTTGGTCTCATTTCATCTAGCCTGTTGCACTTTGAAGTCATTTGTCCCTGATTCTTGTCTTGTGTTGTTCTTGTTTTACTCCTTCATCTCTGATGCAGTAAGTTGCCCACTCGGGGCTTAGTGCAGGGCCTGGTGGATGCAAGAAGCCCAGGACGTATTTGTTGAATGTCAGAGAGAATATATGGGAAATGCCCTTCTTGAGATTATAGATGGGCATGGGGTCAAAAGACCAGTGTACCTGCAGATAAACTAAAAGGATCCAGGAAAAACATTGGAAATGCCAGAATTCTTCAAGATGTGTTTGGGTTTTCATCAAAGTTGTCCATTCAGCAAATCACCATGTCCCCCAAGTGCTAGCAAATATTCAGGACCTGTCAAGACTCCCTCCTAAATTTCTCAAATCCATTGTTTCTCTTGCTGCCCACAGTCCTGCCTTAGTTACCGGTGTCTACCTTGGATGACCTCTGATCCAATTCCCTTTTCTAGTTCCTTCCCCCAACCCACTGTGCATACTACAGTCACAGTGAACTTCTGGAGGTGAAAACCAATGTCACCTAGGCTCTTCGTCCCTTTAGAAACTCCCCCATAGTCCTCCAGACAGCAGCTAAATGCCTTAATCTGAATAATGGATACCCTTGCCCCTGTCCAGCCTCCCCCCAGCCTCCCCCCGCCTGTCCCCACAACCCTCTTGAGACTGCACTGCCGCCCACACCCTCCGCAGCCTCCTCCTGCCTGCACGCGTTGTTGCTTCCTGTGCAGTGTGTCCCCCTTCCTCCTGTCAGCATGTCTTCTCACCACTGGAGTCTACACGCAGGTGTCATTTCTGTCCTGGAAGCCCTCTCTGGTCTCCAGTTTTGTCTCAGTGGCTGTCCCACCTGTTTTCCTAGCCCCATTCTAACCTCTTTTGGAGGATTTATCACATAGTATTGCAGTTATGTTCTGTGTGCTTATTTTCTCTAAGACTTTAAGCTTCTGAAGCACGGGGACTGTGTCTTAGCTTGGTATCCTCATTATTGAACATTGAATTAAGGCAAATGAATGAGAAGTACCAAAAGGTACTTTTTTGTATGTTGTTTGGTGGTACCTGGGGATTGAACCCAAGGATGCTTCACTGTTGAGCTATACCCCCTGTTGTTTTCATTTTTTAAAAATTTTGAAGCAGAGTCTCACTGAGTTGCTCAGGCTGGTCTCAAATTTGTAATCCTCCTGCCTCAACCTCCCAAGTTACCAGGATTATAGGCACATGCCACCATACCCAGCAAGATGCTTGTTTTCACATTCACACTTGGAGAACTTGGCTTTGATGAGTTAGAACAGTTGGTAAAGACACTAGAACCATATCCCACTTGGCTTTAGAGTATTGCTGCCAATGGTCCTAATTGTTTTGAATGTTCCTTGCTCTACATTACTTTTGGCTTGAGCCTTTCTGCAGAGGTCTACCTGATCTAAATGGGCCGGTTTCCTTTTTTAGGGAAAATTTACTGGTTTTCAAGTGGAAAGAAACCAAAGGGAACTGAGCCTCTGAGGAGCACAGATGACCCCTTGGGAGAGGCCTTCAGCCAGCTTAGCTCTGGATCATGGTTACCTCATCTGTCTCTACTTCAGCACCAGGATGGGGGGCTTCAGTCATTCATTTGGCCCCTATGTATGAAGAACCTCCCTTCTTAGTAATGCCTGAAGGAGCTCATTAACAAGAAATTTTTATAAAGACAACAAAAGTATTAGCTGAGAAACACTAAGCCCAGGCTACGGAGGAAGATTATACAGTCGACTGGGAGTTACCTTACACATATATCACAGAGGCAGTTGCCAGAGTGTGGTTCAAAAGACATTAAGTGCTAATCCATAACAATTATGTTTCCGGTTGGTTTTTGTCATTCACTCATAAATTTAGTAAATATTTAATGAGGTCTATTAATGTGATAAGTACAGAGAATAAATGAAGAATAAAACTTAATCTCTGCCTTCAAAGGAACTTAAAGTATGTGTAGGTCCTGAGTTGTGCCTTTTCTAGGTCCTCATCTCCACTGATCCCACTTCTGTGCTGGTCCATCCTGGTCCATGTAAAAAGACCTCCAAGACTCTCCCCAGCCAGCTCCCAAGTCACTTCTCCATGTCACCCTCAACTCCCCCTCCTGCCCAGGGCGCCCTGCACTCTGCCAGCCACACACCAGGGGCCCACTGTATGTTTTGCCCCCATGTTGGCCCTTTGTCAGGGCCCCTCCCAGGGTCTATCTGCCATTCGTCTTCCTCCTCTTTCTCTCTTCTCTGGGCTTCCGTGGCACCCTGTGCAGAGCTCTGACTCAGTGATTCCTAAAAACACGGGGAGTCTGTTCACAGTGAAGAGCCTGACACTCCCACTTCGGGAGCTGCTCAGGTCTGAGATGAGGATCTGCAGGGATCTGTTCTAGAAACCCTTCCCTGGAGATTCCGACATCTCCACAGTTCCTCCTGTTGTGGTTGCAAGACTTATCGTGTCCCATATCTCTTGGTCCTGGAGATATCTCTTTAATCACACTGGTTTGGGGTTGTCTGAAGGTAGAACAATGACTTCATTATTAATCACCTTGGCAAGCAGCACAGAACACATCTGGGGAATGAAAACATTTGCTATTGAATGGTTGCCCTGGGGGACAGGGAGAGAGACACAGGCATGATGTATTTCAACATAAATTTGTTTTTCTCCTATAAAGCTATTAGTAAATGGCAAAAAACAAGTTAGAGATGCAAGTTACTGGGAACAATACCAGATGGTTTTCCAAAGTATCTCCATGGGCAGTTTCTGAGGTCATTTTGAGGCTATTGAGCACCTGCATCTTTTTTCTCCTGGGTCATCCAAAGTTAGAGGCAGCTTGGTGCAATGAACTTCACCTTTGCTGGTCTAGACAGAGAGCTTATTTTTAAAAAATCAGTATTTTAAATGTTGTCATGTGCTGGTAGATGCAATAATGTATCCTTTGATACACAGTGTAGACCAGTAGATGCCATTGTATGAACCCTTTGACATACAGTGTTTATTAGAATTTTATTTGGAAAAGACCTATTGAAAATTAATTTTCAAGAGAATTGAGTTTAGTGTCAACGAGCATTTCCACTGTTTAGACATTGCTCATGAAACCCATCTTTTTAAATCTTTATCTTTCTGAATAAAGATGGTGTTTTATAATATGCCCCCGAACTAAGGCTTTGCCAGCAAAACTGAAGGGTGAACATAACTAAATGAGTTGGCTTGTGGCTCCTCTGTCATGTTTGTGAAACTCATGTTTAATCAGTGCTTCATTTAATGATGGTATATTTAATGAATGTTTTTAGTTAGATTATTATTTCAAACAAATAATGTTATTATCACTAATAACAATGATGTCCCCTAGCCCTATACCAGATAAGCTTTCAATGGTTCTTTTCCAGGTGATGAGGATGACACATACCACCCCATCTGGGGTTGTTAGGTTAAGCAAATAAAAATATAAGCTGACGGGCTGGGGGTGTGGCTCAAGTGGTAGTGAGCTCGCCTAGCGTGCTTGAGGCACTGGGTTCAATTCTCAGCACCACATAAATGTGAAATAAAGATACTGTGTCCACCTAAAAACTAAAGAAATAAATATTTAAAAAAATAAAAAATATTTAAGCTGCCCAGTTAAATATGAATAATGATATATAGTAGATAATGATTTTTACATACTTATATAGTAGATAATATATTTTTACATACTTATATGAAAAAAGTATTCATTGTTTGTCTGAAATTCAAATTAAACTGGGCATCCTGTGTTTCAAATGGCAACATGAGTCATATCCAAAATTTTTGTCCCTTCTCCCTCTCTGCCCCTCGCCCCTGCTCCAGAGACTGGCAGGGGGATAATCAACACCTTCTGTGCTCACAGAGCAGAACAAGGGGTACTCTAAGGGGCAGACAGATATATTCACTAGGGAGCATACCCTACCTTCTGAGAAAGCAGAAAATAATTTAAGTTTTCATAAAAAGCACACTGACCATTCTTCTAAATACAAGAGGCGTGTGTGTGTGTGTGTGTGTGGGGGGTCTGTCTGGCAAATTGGAAGCTATTGCCAGAAGCAAAATGGAAAGAAATGCTACTCAGAAATAGGTTACAAGGAGTGTTTTTTTTTCTTCCCTTTTCCATTCTACCCCAGCTCAGGAGATTAAGAACAGTTCTCCGGTGTGTGTAGACTGGAAAAAGTACCTTCCCCGGCCCCCAGACACTGAATTTCGACGGAATTACCAAATTCCAGCTAAAATTCCTGAGTCACAGGATTTTAGCTTCCGATATGGATGCTACTCAAACCTGTCAGTTGCTTCTAAAGGTCTAGGTAAGTACACCTTTGGTTTTAAAAATGACTCCAGAGATCCTGTAGATACCACACAAGGCTTGCTCCCTGGCACACACGGAAGCCGGTACCATGGCATAGGTCTTTGAACAAAGAGAGAAATTTATTGTAGATCAGTCAACAAGGGGGTGGGAGGAGGCCTACTCAGATCTGTCTCCCTGATGGCCCTTAGCAAAGGAATTGAAGGGACCCGGGGTGAGGAGTAAGAGGGCTGCCTGGGTGTAACACGGAGTCTTTGTGGAGCAGTCTGCACCCTGCACACCAGGCCAGGTGTAACTTGTGGGTGCTTTGTGATTGGGCCACTTCCCGTCTCTCCTTTATTCTGGTCCATCCTGCACCTGCCATCGGAGCCCCTGGGTTCTAATTGCCGTCGATGAGGCTGGGTTCCCTTTCTTCAGGTTTCACTGGTGGCAGACTTTGGGTTCCTCTTGGCTCTTGAGGTCTGCGCCTGTGTCCTGAGAAACAGCATACACAACAATTTTTAGAAATGGGCAGTTGCCGTTTTTTGTAGCCCAGTTTCACTATCCCTTTGCTCCAAGATTCCTTGATGCAGCAGCCCCGGCAGCCAAATTTGATAATGGTCACAGGGAATGGCCATGATCCTGGCGGGCAGTCTGAACCTTGCTGGGTTCAGAGGGCACCCTCCCTCCCTCCAGCGTCTTCAGATTTGGCACTCATCTGCTTGAGTGTTCTTGGGCAATCCCGAAAGTGTTTAAAAGTTCAGTCCCCTCCAAGGTATTGGTTAAGAAGAAAACTTGGTGTCTTCTGAAGAAGAATTGGGACCAGATAGTCCCTGAGACAGAAGAATTGCAGAATGGAAGCCTAGCATCCTGGGGCTAAAGGGTAGTCCAGAAGTTACCTCGTCTAGAGCCTCAGGGCACACGTGAATTGCCTGCACCCCATCCTCACTGAGGGTTGACATGCCTCCCCACCCCATTCAGGGTAGTGCTCCATGTTCCAAGCCTTGCACTGTTCCCATAGCTGGAATATTCCCTGCTAAACTTCTAGTCATTGATTCTGCTTCTTTTCATGGAGGTTAACTAGTAGCAGAAATATATTATTCTATAAAAAGGTCATCGTAGAACTTCTTAGTCTTCTTCTTTTCCAGTTAAAGCATTTCCAGACCTTATAGACACTCATCTCAGGAAGGAGCATCAAAACCCCTCAATAGTTTGGTCCTTCCATTTGGCCAATGGCCCCTTTAATAGACTGGAAACAGTATAGAAAGTGTTTCCAAGGTTTACCAAAAACTTGAGAAAGTTGTAGGAATTGGATTTTTGTATCACGTCTTCATTTTAAAAACATGTTAGCTCCATAAGGTATCAGAATCCACATTAGAATAACAATATTCATTATCAAATGTAAGTGCCTTGGGGTTGCCCGCACCTCTTACCTCTCCTGGTCTGAACGGACAGGACAGTGAGGGCTGGCTGTAAATATCAATGTTCTTCCAAACTGCTCATCCCAAGACTGATTCCCAGGCCACCGGAAGGAGGTCTCTTAGTGCACCAACCCAGGTTTGCACAGGACATGTCCTGAAAGACAAAGGTGTTTCTAGGAAGGTGGTTGTTTATTAACCTGGCGGTGCCCACTGCCATCCCAACACACTGACCTGCATATGAGCTCACGTCAGAACAACTTCTTTTCTGAAAACAATGGCCAGACTCGACCTTCTGGCCATTGTGTCTCCCCATCCCTCCCTCTTCTAATGGCAACAGTCTGGAAGTCTCAGCAGCTTTGTGCAGCTCCTAGTTACCGGAGGAATCAGATTCACACAGCGCCTTAGTTTCCAGCGTCGTGAAGTATGCAAAGTGATGCAGAGTGACCTCCAATGGCAGTCAGGGTTGCCAGAGGCAGGTTCTAACAAGGGGGACAAGAGTTCTCTGCTTGGGTGACAGCCGCTGCTTCTGTCCTTCCCTTGTGTTTCTGTAGTCCCTTCGGTGCTACACAGCTACATGAGAACCCAAGAACGTACAAAGAAGCAGACCACTTACCAAAGCGACTACGGGAAGGACCACCTGGACTTCTTAATGATCTTGAACTCCATCACGCCCTGGCAAATCAGTAATTACCTTAAGACTGTTTCTGGCAAAGGTAAGATGGAGTCTAAAGTTTCACATTTCATTCACAGATCGTAGCACATTGCTTTATACTAAAATAGCAATTGTCCCCATTTCTAGCCATAAAAAATTGCTTTAAAAAAATCCCCAAGTGTAGAGTAAACCTCAACCTATTGAAAACTTTTTCCCTAAGAAGAGGCCCCAGTGACTTCATTCCCACTTATTAAAAAGGAGGTAGAGCTTTTCACTAATTCCCAACCCATTTTGCCTGCAGTTGAATTATTCCAGAATGGCTTCTCTTTTTTCTTCCAGCTATTTGATTTCTCTAGTGGATGACTGTATTATCTCATGTTTTGTTTATTTTTCCCCCACTATTTCCAATTTGGTGGCACATTTTTGTGACAGCTGTTGACAGTACCTGAGAACCTCCATTATTCACACCTGCCAAAGAGAGCCATTCCATTTTCAGGATGGCGTCGTTCCTCCTCTTCATAACACTTACCCATACCCAGGCTGAGCGGGGGTGGGGTGGGGATGGATTTGGGAACATCGCAGGGGTAACTGGTTGTCCGACTGAGTGTGTATAAAATATGAACTTGGGGACTGAAGGAGTGTGAGGAAGCAGAGCTCTTCCCATAGCTCCCTCTGTGAGGGGTCACAGGCCCCGTTTAAATACATGCCCCAAGACGGATGGATATATATATATATTTTTTTTTACATGAACTAGTGTACCAGGCCCATTAGAAAAGTTGGAGTTGAGGAAGTTAAAAACAAATATAAATAGAGGTTCTGCTATTTTCCCCGGCACCCAAAGGGTCATCTCCTGCACCCATATTTGTGCCCAAGGGCATGTGGCGTCATCAGCTCTTTCATGCTCCGTGACCAGGCCTAAGGTCGGGACTTCCCCCAGCTCCTCTGCAGCCCTCCAGCTGCTCTGTCACCACCTGCTTCTCTTGGGTTCCCAGTTGTCCCCAGACAGACACATGATTCTTCTGAAGTTTGCACTGAAACCCTTTGTTTCTGGATTTTCCTGCTCCAAGCAAGATTGAAAGGGAGGGGTATGTGCATGTGTGCATGCCTGTGTGTGTGCGCACACGCGTGTGTCTAGGTTGGGGAGAAAAAGCAGGTATTTTCCTACTCTTAAAAGTGCTTGAATGGTAGGTTTCAGGGAAACCCGAAAAGCAGATGTTTTGCCTCATACTGAGGCAGAAGTGGATATTTTCAGGTGGGATCCTGATGCCCCGAGCTGCTTTCTCACTCTTTGCTCAGCTTTGTGGCAGACATGTAAAACCATCCTCTGTACTTTACAAAGAGCTCATTCCACTTCCAGGAGGCACACCTGTGGGAGCCTACAGCAGGACTGTTTCTGTCTTTCCCTAAGCAGATGCTTCCTTCTGCCCAGGGACTGGCCAGAGAGTTGCAGCCACCACTTCTGCCATAGTGGCTGCTGGGCACCTTGGTTTCCTCTCTGTGTCGTATGCAGCCTGAGCCTTGGTGATGTCCCCTAAGGGTGGAACCTCTGCTCAGCCTGCATCTTCATCCTTCAAGGTGCCTGGGTTGCCTGAGGGCAGCACTGGGGACAGGTACCTGAAAGCTCATGGCCCAGCATTCAGCTATTTTTGTGCTGACGTGGGCGGACTGAGGAGCTGCTTCCTGTGGGTTTCTCATCTCTCTTCACTTTAGAATGGCTCACTCATCCGTGCTGGCTGGGCTAGACACTGACTAGCAAGTAGGAGGCTTCCTTTTCATCATGCCCCAAACCTCTTGTCATTTTCTAATGTCAGGGGTGACACGGATGCTTCTCAGCTGGTGAAGATATCAGAGGTGCTTTTTTTTTTTTCCTTCTTCTTTTTTTGATGGTACTGAGTGAGTAAGCAGAGAATAAAACACCTGGCAGATGTGGCAGGCTCAGTTATTATCAGCTCAGTTTGAATCATTTTACTGGATTACCCTTCATGGGTCGTAGGCCTGATGGAATAGGAGCCCAGAACAGGAATATTTTGAGAGAGAGACAAAGGGTGGAAAGACCAACCTTCACCTTCAGTAAAGGCCTGAGACAGGGTGGAGAATGGTCTGGAGAGAAGGAAAGGTGAGGACAGATAGGGAAGACTCCAGGAAGATGAAAGATACTGGGGAAGGAGACAGGAGGAGAAAGTAGCTAAGGGGAACCTTCTATTCCCCATTAACTCTGTTGCCACATTTGGTACAAGTTGAGCATCCTTCATCCAAACATCTGAAATCCAAAGCTTTGTGAGCACGGAGGTGATGCACAGGTGGAAAACTCCACACCTGGCTTCATGAGATGGATTGCACTTAAAACCCAGGTGCACCAAAAATATTGTATAAAATTACCTGTGGGCCATGTGGATAAGGTGTATAGGAAGCACAAGTGAATTTCATGTTTAGACTCAGGTCCCATCCCCAAGATATTTCATTGTATTTATACAAATACATTCTAAAATTTTTTAAAAATCAGAATTATGGAACACATCTGGTCTTAAGCATTTTTCATAAGGGATCCTCCACAGTTCATTTGTGACTTGAAGAGATGCGATTAGATCTGTTTAGTGACCAGTCTGTTTTCCAAATTGTTTTAATCCCTAGGTCTGATTCAGACCACCCAAAAGCTTATTACTCTCTTTGGGTGTCTGTTATCCATTGGTAAAGATTCTGTAATTTACCCATTTTTTTCCACTTAAAAGATAAAAATATCTGGGGCTGGAGATATAGCTCAGTTGGTAGAGTACTTGGTGCTTGCCTCACATGCACAAGGCCCTGGGTTCAATCCCCAGCACCGCCCAAATTTTTTTCTTTTAAAGATAAATTTTCTGGAGTCTGGTTTTCTATGAAATTTTTAAGCTACTACTCCTTCCCCATCTTTTTTTTCCAACCAAACTCCTGTGAATAGGGCTGTCAAGAAGGTATTTCTTTGTAGTATTAATTATAACGAGGTGACCAGCAACCCCAGCAGGGTAGGTTCTTACTCAGGAGGTATGAGCTGCCTGGGAAAATAAAAGGTCTGAAATAATCAGTAAGAAATAAAAACAAAGCCAGAAATTAGATATAAAAAGGGGAGCATCTGATGGGTCTTCCAGTCCTGATGGGAGCTAGGACTGAATAACTGAAGAAGGCCCCAATTCTTTAGTTAAGTGGGGAGTACATCAAAGGCAGGGATAAAGTTTCAGTGGGAGGAGTCTTGGTTCCGTGCTTGCTTCTTGGTAAGGTGGGGGTCCTTCAGTAAACAGGTTGAATGGCATTTTGGCAAGCCATACCCATCTCTCCATCTCTGGGAGTCTGTGTGGCTCTAATGGGTCAGTATCATCTCCATAGCTAAGCTAGAACTTAAATGGTGAGCTAGAACAGGGTACCACATGGGTCGGGCGTTCTCAAGCCAGTGGATTCTGACTGGGAGTTCCCAAAACCAGGCTTCCCTGCCTAATGGTTTCAACATCACTCAGTTTATGCATGGGTCATGGATGACTTCCAGTAATTAAGAATGCACTTGTTGGGCTGAGGATGTAGCTCAGTGGTAGAGCACATGTGGGACTTTAATCTCCAGTGCTATCCAAAATACATTTATTTAATCACTCAACAAACTTTATTAATTGAAGACCTATAATGTTCATTTGATACAAAGATAAATGATGAGTGAAAAATAAACCCTCTTATTGGGAAGCTTGTTGCCCGGTGTGAGAGACAGACGTGTAGTTTTAATGTTGTAGGCTGTAGGCTGTAAGCAAGGGATCTTTGGTTATATGGGAAGCCCATGTGGGGTACTCTTAACCCTGACGGTGCACAGGGGTTCAGGAAATGAGGAAAAGCTACTCAGAAGAGATGAATCTAGATGCACAATGAGAAGAGGCAAGGCCCTTTCTAGCAAAGGGAATAGCATTGATAAAACCATGGAGACACGAACCCGCATCTGTACATAATAAACATGGGTAGCCCTTGAGTTACAATTGGCAGTCTTTGGGGGTAGTTGTCAACTTAAGTTGACATTATATTTTACACAATCTCATCCTTTTCACTAATGCATGCCATACTTGATTCATCTTGTATGCATATCTTTGGTATTGGAAAGAGGGAATTTTTTCTTTTGCTCATTTTAAAATAAAATCTTTACTATAAAGTTTAAAGCTAGAGACAGTGCTTAAACTGAAAAGAATTGATGATAGCAGTTGTGGATGACATGGAGCAATCATGGAGCAATCAGAACTCCCAGACTTTGGGGGAATATCAAACAGTATAATCACTTTGGAAACAGATCAGGCAGTGTTGAACATATGACTCTTTCATGACTCAAAAATTCCTCTTCTGGATATTTACCTTAGAGAAAAGAAAGCACAGGTCCTCAAAAAGACTCATATGAAAATGTTTATAACCCCTTTATTCTCAGTACCCCCAAACTGGATACGACTCAAATCCCCATCAGCAGGAAAATGGATAGATCAATTATGACATATTAACATAGTGAGAATAAAAAGGAACAAATTACTGATGTATACAACAAAATACATGAGCCATAAAAACATGCCGAATGAAAGAAGCCAGACACAAAACACCACCTATATGATTTCACTGATGGGAAGGTCTACAACAGGCAAATCTTGTCTTTGATTAAAAGAAATCATAACAGCAGCAGTCTTGAGTGGGAAGAAACAGGGAGGATCTTCTGGGATGGTGGGATAGTTGAAATTTTCATGTGGGTGTGGCATATAAGTGTGTAAATATCAGTTGATCCAACTGTACATGGAAGATCAGTGCATTACTTTTTATAGAAAGGGAACCTCAATGGAAAAGTACAGGCATCAAAAAAGTATGGGTAAGGGTAGAAGCTGTTCAAAATTAAACATGAGACTGCAAAGACAAATAAATGCAAATATAGTTGGAGAGAAAACACATGCATATGTGTGCATGCACGTGCGCACGTGCGCACACACACACACACACACACACATCTAGGGATCTAGGGACTCCCGCTGGCTTTTGTGACATTGAGCGGGATGATGTAAACATTGAGCTTAACACGTTATC